CCAAGAATCAAGGACAGGATGTTCTTGGAGGAGCATGGAGACAGGAAGATCATCATGAACTTGTTGGTTAACCTCTACAACTACCAATGTAGTACTGTAGGACACAACCAGATCCTGTCGACCTTCATGAGGACGCCAGCAGCAACTGATCCAGAAGAACCGTACATGAAGAACGATCTTGCAGGGGGTTTCTTCCATGTAGGACGCGACATATCCCCCCATGGGAATGATGTGTTTCTTGGGTGATTCCCATGGTGGTTTCGTTAGTTTTGTGCAAAAGAAACAGTTTAGAAAGGAATGTAATTAGCAAATGATCATCGATAGTACCGAATGTTTCGTATTGTTACGACTATCGTTACGACGCCGACAGCAGTCGACACACGCCGTCGACACCCGCGAGGACAAACTTACTGTCAGTACCTCCTCCCCTCATTGTCCAACGAATAAATGGTTGGTTTCCTTAAGCATTGTTTAGTTATGGTTGCATTTGTTGCTTGAATTTGCATGAATGAGGGGAGCAAGCAGCGAGCTGTACAGCTTGCTGGGAGCAAGCAGCGAGCTGTACAGCTTGTTGCTGTGAGCTGTACAGCTTACACTTGCTAGTAGCAGTAAGCTGTACGCTGTACAGCTTACTGTTTTGTGGTTTTCGTGAACCCCTAGTTGAGCTCGCTGCCGCGTTGCCTAATACACACCAATGCAGCAATGCATACCAAGTTATACTGAAACAAATATAAGTTCACTGTTATACTGCCATGAAGAGAACTTTATGATTCGAACCATGTGCATGCCGATCCAAACAGTTTTGGTGGGATTCCCCACGTGCTAAATTACTAGAAAACAGTTCTAATCCCACGTTCGTATACATAAAAACCGATACAGGGTATGCACAAAAACCCATACAAGAGAAGAGYGAAGGAATAAGTACAATCAGTACTAGGACGTACTGTCACAGCTACTGTCWCAGCGGGGAATACGGCTCGCAACACTGCTCACATACAGCAAATGAAAGGCTCATTTAGTTGATTTCAATCCATGTAAYTTAGTTCATTTGAATTAGTGCTTAACACAAGTAACCGGCGTTGCGTTTTCAGTTGTTTTCACCATGGGATTCATTGCTGATACGTGGACATTTGTCGATGGACTGAGCGTCGTTGTCGTTGTTGTTGTTATTAGTTTGCTGCCATTGCTGAAAGCAAGCCATTGCCATCGTGAGAGCGTTCTTCCACATCAGGTTGGTCTCTTTAGCAATTTGGCTTGCCTCCTTTGCAATCAAGGAGTGCTCCTTTGCTAGCTTAGACTGCTCCAAAGCTAACTCACAATTTTCTTTGTCCCTTGCTTGCTGGCTAATCAAGTACTCGTTGAATACAGTAGCGTCGGGAACTTTTGAGTAAGGTCTCTTATTCGGAGTAGCGGACTGCACTTTGTTAGGCCTCACAATGGATGAGTCTACAGTCGATGATGCGTCTCCAGCTTGGATAATGGGAGCTCTT